ATATATATAAAGTATTAACTATTTTAATTCTTAAGGGAATCTAAACTCGTCCGTTTTATCAATCACGAATGCAATTATTTTTCAAAATACTATTTTTCTAAATACCTTTATCAGATGATCTTTCGGACAATGTTTCATTCTTTTCGATGATTCCACTTTTTCAATTCTTTAATCTTGTAATCTTCGCAATGCATTGTCTCGGTCATTCGAATTGTCTGCGGGTTCCCGATCTTTTTCATTAGCTTTTTGCCAAATTCTGAGGAGTAAAATGATTTGTGGGTTCCACTTATACTATCATTTTGCTGTCATAAAATGCTTCCATCGGAATTATGATTTTATAATCTAATAATAGGTTTAGTAAAAGCTTCATGAAAATCTGAATTTTAACAATTTTTTTTAATTTGGACCTTTGATGACTTTAATTAATTGGACGATATAGCTATTTGTTGCTTAAGAGTTTTGCATAAATAAAAAATTTTAATATATTTATATCTGAGTAATGTTAATTTATAAATGGACACTACCTGTTTTTCTCTTAAATGTATCTGCACTTCCTTAATGTCTTAATTAATATTTCTTTTTTTTTATATTTTTATGAATAATCTTCACGTATTTCATTCGGAATAATTCTCTCGATGCGATCATAGATTGATTAGCACTCTCGATGCGATCATAGATTGATTAGCACTCTGATTGCGGGAGGTATAATTTTGATTAGCCCTACGCTCCATTAAGACATGAAAACTTGCTCTACATCGACGGGAACAGTATTTGGATAATAGGGTGTTCGTATGTCACGCATAATGAATTCGTAAATTGGGGTTTGTGACTGAATCATTTCAATTGGAGCTCCGCTTCCAATTATGTCGCACATCAAGCGGGGAGCACAAGGCAAATAAAATTATTCATTTACCGTCTATCACTAAAAATCCTTACTCTCTTCGAAAAAGTTCGTTGACGTCACATCATGACGACGATAATGATAATAATTAACTATTATTGTTGCCATGAGAAGAAAACCGTTAGCATTATTAAAAGATATACGGTAAACAGAAAAAAAATTAATCAACGCGATAAAAAAACTCTATTATAATTGCATGTCAAAATTGATATGTTAAAATAGAAATGCTTTTTCATAAAATCGACGAGAATGTAATGAAAAGAGGCTCATGTTTAGAGATCGTATACGCGAAATGTTCCGGTGTTTTTTTCCATCTTTCACAGAAGAAAATTTTACCGCAGGATTCTCTATAAAGAATTATGTATAAGATTCATCGCTAATTGTCAAACTAATCGAATGATTCTTCGTTTCTGAAAATGAAACTTCTCACCAATCTATTTTAAATTTCGAACACATAGTAAAACGTTTTGAATTTAATGAGATATCATAATATAAAAATGAAATAAAGGAACAAGTGTAAAAAACATTTCGATCTCTCTTAAACATCGATCATCTTTCAGTCAGTGTACTGTTTCAACGTCAAATAATAAATTAATCTTATAATTACATAAAATCTCATAAACTGATAGATCCACAACAATACATAAACTAACAATACACATACAGATATCTTTTTAGAAATACTCTTAGTGCGGTATTCATAATCGGATCTTATATTTAGGACTGTCTTAAGTAGAATCTTAATCTTAAATACAAATATAATTAATCAGAAAGCTACATCTTGAGACATTACTTAAGTCTCAAAATAAGAACGGATTATGAATATCACCTTTAGTTGATAAATCGAGTCCTATTTTAAATTGTACGCGTATGTCAATCCGGGATATAGTGAAACTCTTCCCTCTTTAATTAATATAAATACAATTTCAAAATAGCAATCTCATTAAATAACAAACAAAAAATGACGGCTATAATTACAACACGAAGAAATTGAGCGAGCCGGAGTGATTCTCTATTTCGAAAAATTCCAGATTAACATCAAGAAACGTTAAACCAATAATTTAATGCCTAATCGAAACGCCAAGGAAGGTCGGTCCAAACCCATTTTATTCGCAATTGTTGTGATCCGAAAGTGGGTCGTTAACGACAAGTCTTACCTGTCTCGCGAGAGATCGGGTGAAATCGAGCATCCGGAATAACCGTTAAGAAATCCGAAAAAAACCAACACCGAGATACAAGCGAGGTCGCGCGATGCGTGGGCAGTTTGGGAAAACTCTCTCGATTCCGAGGCGAGATGTTCCGCCTCCAGCAGCAAGACGTGTCGGGACGAGAGACGTCGAGTTTCCCTATTTAATCTCTCGCACGGCCTACCTATTGATTTTCCGGGGACTATTGTTTTGGAACGTCGCGCGTTTAACCGAACGCGAAAACCGCCGGAGCGCAGATATCAATAAGAAAACGACCCCTCCCACGCATTTATGCACTCTCGAACAAACGCACTCTTGAACTTGTCATC